TACAATTTTTTAAAAAAGACTGTTATTGAAATATTCGTCCTCTATGCATAAAATTGATCAAAACATTAACAATAAATTATTATAAGTTGATTTGGGTTGGTGCTCAGGTCAGTGCTTGGGTCGGTGCTCGGGTCTATGGATTTGGTCGACCAATTTGTTTGCTTTGGTTTTGGTTCATTTTTTCGACCAAAAACCCAACCAAAAATAATGCTAATTCGACCCAACCTAGCAATTTAACTACACGAATATTTACAATATATATTTTTACCCATTTGCGTCAAAAAAATCAAATATCTTTAAAAATAACGATTATGACAACAATTGTCAGTTTTATATGGTACATCTTCACTGAAATTTTAATTTAACTTGTTTACAATATATATTTTTACCTATTTACTTTAAAAAAGTTCAAAAATAACGATTATGACAATTGTCACTTTTCTTACATCTTCACTGAAATTTTAATTTAACTTGTTTACAATATATATTTTTAGCTATTTATTTGTAAAAAATTCAAAACAGTTCAAAAATAAAGTTTTGGACAATTATCACTTTTCCATAGTACACTTTCACTGAAATATTAATTTACATGTTTACAAAATATATTTTTACCTATTTACTTTAAAAAAACTCAAAAAAGTTCAAAAATAACGATTATGATTTGTCACTTTTCCATAGTACACTTTCACTGAAATATTAATTTAACATGTATACAAAACATATTTTTACCCATTTACTTTAAAAAAACTTAAAAAAGTTTAAAAATAACGATTATGACAATTGTCACCTTTCTATGGTACATCTTCACTGAAATTTTATTTTAACATCATTATAATATATATTTTTACCTATTTACTTTAAAAAAAGTTCAAAAATAACGATTATGACAATTGTCACTTTTCCATAGTACACTTTCACTGAAATATTAATTTAACATGTTTACAAAACATATTTTTACCTATTTACTTTAAAAAAACACAAAAAAGTTTAAAAATAACGATTATGACAATTGTCACCTTTCTATGGTACATCTTCACTGAAATTTTATTTTAACATCTTTATAATATATATTTTTACCTATTTACTTTAAAAAAACTCAAAAAAGTTCAAAAATAACGATTATGACAATTGTCACTTTTCCATAGTACACTTTCACTGAAATATTAATTTAACATGTTTACAAAACATATTTTTACCTATTTACTTTAAAAAAACACAAAAAAGTTCAAAAATAACGATTATGACAATTTTCACTTTTCTATAATAAACTTTCACTGAAATATTAATTTAACATGTTTACAAAACATATTTTTACCCATTTACTTTAAAAAAACTTAAAAAAGTTTAAAAATAACGATTATGACAATTGTCACCTTTCTATGGTACATCTTCACTGAAATTTTATTTTAACATCTTTATAATATATATTTTTACCTATTTACTTTAAAAAAACTCAAAAAAGTTCAAAAATAACGATTATGACAATTGTCACTTTTCTATGGTACATCTTCACTGAAATTTTAATTTATCTTATTTACAATATATATTTTTACCTATTTACTTTAAAAAAATTCAAAAAAGTTCAAAAATAACGATTATGACAACAATTGTCACTTTTATAAGTTACATCTTCATTGAATTTATAATTTAACCTCTTTACAATATAAATATGTCAAAAAGTTTCAAAAATGTATAAAAAACGAATATGACAATTGTCACATTAAAATATTTTCCTTTAAAAATACATATAAAATAACATAAAAAAGTTTAATATAAATATTTTTAAAAATTATTTAACCACCTCTTTAAATATACAAAAAAATAGATAGTTTTACAAAGATGATTAAAAAAAACATAAAAGATTTCACCTCAAAGATTGTTTATTTATAAGAAAATTCTCCAAAATATTGCTCAAATGAAAATTTAAAATTCTTATTATTTTTGAACTTCAAATTTTTGCTTAAAAATTTGGGCGCGTGAAAATCACTAATAAATTGTAACAAAAAAAAATAATATTACAATACAACAATAGCAGCATATTGTTTATTAAAAATACATCAAATCAATAAACTATTTTCATAATATATAAATTAGTTTAAAAAAAATAAATATATATTATATTGTTTTTTAACATTAAATAAATAAATTTTGGCTTAAAATAAGACTCGAGCCAACTCTTGAGCCGGCTTGAGCCAACTCCTGAGCCGGCTTGAGCCAACTCCTAAGCCGGCTTGAGCCAACTCCTGAGCCGGCTTGAGCCAACTCCTGAGCCGGCTTGAGCCAACTCCTGAGCCGGCTTGAGCCAACTTCTGAGCCGGCTTGAGCCTAAGCCAATTTTTCGGCTCCGGCCTCGAGGTCGGAGCCGTAAAAACTCGGCTTTTTAACAACACTACACTTCACTACATCAACGATGACTGGAATATTATAAACATTGCTCTAGATTTATTATCGTTCCCCCACCCACACACGGGGGATGATATATCATCGCTTATGATAACCTCCATAAATGATTTCGAATTTAAAGATAATATAATATCTATAACGCATGATAATGGCACTAACATGGTAAAAGCCGTAAGTATTATCATTTAAATTATGAGACTGTTTTATATAGTCATCGTTGTATGGCACATATCCTTAACCTAATTGTCGAGGGACTTATATTTTTGGATGATAAATTAACAAATATAGAGGCTTTCGTTACCAAATTACATGTCTCACCAAAATTATTGCAGACTTATCAATCTATTAATGGAGCTACAAATACCTCTTCCAGTTAAAACAAGATGGAACAGCGTATATCTTATGATAAAAGCCATTAATAAGGTAAAAATAAAAATATTTTAGTATATTTCTAATATTATTTTCCTAATTTTTTTATATCTATTTTTAGAATATCAAGGCAATATTACACCTGAGTGAGCTTAAATTAATTGAAACCGATTTGGCTCCTGAAAATCGAGAATTCTTCACAAATTTAGAAGAATTTCTAACTCCTTTTCATCAAATTACGGTTGAAATAAGCGCACAGCTTCCAACAATCGGGATGGCTATACTATTTTATAATGATATTATGGATAATTTGAAAGATCAAGAGATAGGTAATTCAGATGCCTCGATAAGAGAAGCAGCAACATTTATGTTAAAAAAATACGAAGAATATAGCCAATATATAAAAACACCTAACAACTATGCTGCATCAATAATAGATCCTATTATTAAAAATACATTAATCAATAATTTAAAGGAAGATGCCGCAGTTAAATATATGGCTATATTCAAAGATATTTATTCAAAATATATGATGGAGCCATTTGATGAGTACTTATTCGATAATAATAACAATCCTTCTAACCTTAAAACAATTTCATTATTACAGGGATTAAAAAGAAGGTATATTTGTAATATAATATATTTAGATAGAATTAATTAAAATTATATATTCTATAATTTTTATTTATTTTAAATTTATCTCTTTAGAAAAGTATCATCAAATGGTGATACAGACAATCAGCTAAAGACCTATCTTCTTGAGCTGGTAGCGCCCGAGACAACCAACATGCTTGATTGGTGGAGAGGAATGCAAATCGATTTCCTCATTAAGCTAAGATAGCATGTATCAACAAACAACTTCAGTGGCATCGTAAATAACTTTTTATCTTGCCAGAAATACTATTACAAAATTGAGGAACAGGATGGCTCCCTCCACCTTAAAACAATGCATATTGCTATCGTCTTAGGATATAAATATAATGGGTCTTCATGACGATATATGGCAATAATTTGTAAGGTATAGTAATAATTTATATTTTAAATATTTTTTGCAGGCTATGGTATTTATATACATGATCAATTCAAATCTATATCCACAATCAAGAAAAATGAAAAAATACTATAATTATTTAAAATTGTATTTTATATGTTATTGTATATATTTTTATTATAATCAAATTTTGAAAATAAATATATTTGTACTTGTACTTCACCCCAATGTTAATCTTGGTCGGGTCTGAACCCCTGGTCGGCCTGAGCACATAAAAGGGTCGTAAATTTTACGACCAAGCAAATTAACAACACTAATTATATATAATCTATTTTATAAAAATAATATTGCGATAATATAGAAACATAAATGTTAATATGATATAAAAATATAAAGTAGTTCTTCTGTTGAATAGTACGTCGTAAGAAATTATTATATAGAAATAATCGTAAAAATACACTATTAAGAATATCCCTCCAAAATCCTACCTTAAGCCTCATCGTGGCGGGGGAGTGGCAACGTCGTTTGGCGACTAATGGAGGTCTAAAAGGTTCCCTGTGGTCAGTCTCCTCGACGAGGTGTAAAAACCATCTAAAGGGGTTGATGTTAGGAAGGGCATCCGATTGTAAAATCTTTGCTATAAAATTTCTATTAAATCAGAGGAAAAACTGGCAAACCTGGAAATAGCCATTAAAGGGAGAAGAAAAAGAAGAAGAAACTATTAAGAATATTAGGCCTATAAAAGTTAAATGCCATCTATAGTATAAAAATATATTTTTTATTGGTTTTTATCGATTTTGTTTATCGGCTCCACTCTAATTTTTTTATACTTATATAGAATGGTAATAGTAATGTTTATCTAAAGTTTCATAAAAATCACTTTTACCCATTTTCGTTATCAGGATTTTAAATATATTCTGGGAATAAGAGGTCTAGAAGTTTTTATAAATAAATTTTATTTTTCTGAAGATAAAAAGTATCTAGATTTATTTAAATATGGGCATAATTTTTAATTAATTATAAAATTAATGAATGAAGACCCTCGCAAAAAAGGGCAATTTTCATTCTTTGACTGTAATCATCTTCAAAAATATGAAAACTAGAAAGCTAAAATTTTTCCCAAATATAGATTACAAGAATCTTAGTGTATCAACAAATTCTCATCTAAATTAAAACAGATCGCCCAAACCGTGATCAGTTTAGCATGGAATGACCATATAAAAAAACATAATGTAACCTCCTGTTTGATTTGTTCTTCACTTTTACCCACCCAGGCCACCTCGGGATGCGTGTAGATGACGGAAGGGACAGCGTCGTAATCCAAATGCGCATTTCCTTTATTTTTTATATTTTGAACGCATAATATACCCTCGTCCTCAGCTTTATGGGCTAGCATAGGCCCGTGTATACAATCTCCTATAGCGTAAATACTTGAAAATAAATAATTTGGATATCAGAAAAGGGAGATAGATATGGAAATGAAAGACATTTAAAGGATTTAGTTTTAAAAAAAATCTGGCTCACCCAGCTTGACTCAAATAATGAAATTTGGCACGATCAGGCACAATTGGCATAGCTAGAAGCAAAAAAATTACTAATAATACAATCAACCATTTCAAACGGTAAATTAAAGAATTTTTTAAAAAATATTTACTTTGGAATAGATGTTTCCCATTTTGAATTGACAGGTATCCTACCTTTATCATCCAATTGTAGGCCCATCTCTTTCAACCCTAAATTATGAGTATATGGACGCCTCCCAATACTTACCAGTAGGATTTCGCATTCGATCTAAGATTAGATTAAATTGCAAATTGTTTATATTTATCAAGACCTGTAGTGGAAAAATTTCAGGTCCAGCCAGAATTTTTTCAAAAAATTATTTTTAAGGTCGGCCTTTTTCGGACCAGTCTAGATTTTACTTGTTTTTTTTCTCTCATTTTCTGGCTATAGAATTTTTAAAATTTGTTGTTGAAAATAATTTTGGTCATAGTCAATTTATTTCAAAAGGAGATATCGAAAATATGAGCAGTAAACGAAAATTATATGTTATATTTATTATTTGTTTTTTCCAGCTAATTGAGATTTAATTTAAATATTAATAGGTCAAACCCCAAATTTTAATTTTCATAATCATAACGGTTAGATTTTATATTTATTTCTCTTAAAATAGGATCCCAAAAATAGATATTGTTTAGACCTCCAAAATTTTATTCAAAAATTCCCCAAAACCTGGCCCACAGCAGGTTCAATTTAATAAAATATCCTTCCAAAATAAAAAACCACTACAGAAACAAACCTTTAACAAATTAGTTTTTAAAAATATGAATCGAATCTTTATTATTTCACCGAAATGTTTGTTTTAAACAGATAAAAATATTCAATTTTTTCTTGTTTTTTTTAAATAAATAAATGCATAACTACAAAAGATTTATAATTTTTTTTACAAAAAAATTTAAGAATTTTTAGGGAAAAATTAATGGTCAAAAATCTTTATTCTTTAAAAAAAATAATTTTTTTTTCAAACTCTATGAATATATTTAAAAAATTTGATGAAATTACCTCTTCCTTCTTGCCATCTTTAACTGACTCCATCTGCACCTTTATTTTGCCGTCAGCTTGTTTGGTGGCCGATAAAACCTTGGTGTTCAGCCTAAATTTCATGCCCTGTTTGAGGAGAGTTTTTTGAAACTGTTTGGAAATTTCCATGTCTATTCCCTGGCCACCCACGTGACCCATAAATTCAACGGCGGTCACGTCAGAACCTAACCTCTTCCAGACTGAACCCTAATGTATAGATATGAAAAATAAATATATTGAATATCATAAGAATAAGTAGATCTATTATGCATCATAAATTTTTAGAACATATTTTTAAAAATATTCCTGTTTTTTATAAATAAAATGATAGTAAAGGGTTAGATGCAGGTAGATAATGGGTAAGATAAGTTACAAAGCACCTAAATATCCATTCCGTTTCAGTTTAAAAATGGTGCCATCCTCATAAGACCAAAAAAATTACAATTATATATTTTAATATATATGATTGAATGTCTTAAGCTTTTTATCATCATTTACATTTCTATTATAATTTAGAAGTTTTTTTAAAAAATGGATATAGAAGAGTGTTATTATTTTATAATTACATAATATCAAGGTTTCAAACTTAGCCCAAAGCAGAAAACCCGGGTTTTGGAAAAATTTCTGAGTTTAGTAAAACCAATAAGAAAGTATCACATTTGTTTCATATATAAAAAATATATTCATATTATTTTATATGTGTCAGGGTGCATCGAATAACCTTGATCTCCAGTGCATGGTGTCACAAGTTAGAATATGGTAAGTGCAAAAAAATATTTCTTTTTAAAAGTCAAATTTCAACCTGAAACTGATCTCGAATAGAATTGGTTGAGTGGAGGGGGGGGGGTGGATAGATCAAATTATAATTAGGTTATACAGTCTCCCTCTATAACATTAAGAGATAGGAAAACATGCACTTATGGATTATGGATATTATATATTAATAATATGAAAAATCTTAAAATGTAGATATAATTAATTATAATTTATTATACCTGTTGATGTTGACCAAATTTTAAAAATTTATGCAGGCTAATTATTTTTTGAGTTTATAAGTTAAAATTTTAGTTATTAGGCAATATTGATGAATTTCTGCTCAACATGTAAAATAAATTTAATATTATACCAATTCAACACCGATCACTCCAGCTCCTATAACAACCATTGATTTTGGTACAGATGGCAATGAGAGTGCACCTGTTGATGAAACAATGCTTTTTTCATCAATCTATGAAATTTAAATTTAGTTATCTAAATTTATATATATATATATAATAGTCATTAACTGTTATTGATGGAAATGGTGTAACTTCTGACCCACTAGCTATAATAATATTTTTAGCCTCAATAATTTTTGTCCCATCTTTTGTAATAACTGACACTTTGTTAGGAGACACTAATTTACCATGCCCTTTAAAATGTGTGACCTAATAAGATAGTTATATAAATTTTATATATTAAAATTAGAGTGTACTCAAATACCATGTTTTTTATTATGGTTCATAAGAATGATGGGTGGCTGATGCATATTATAGAAGTACTAAGCACCCCCCCCCCTTCTTTCCTAATGTCATTTATATATTTCATATTAAATTAACATATAAATTTTATAAAATTAAGGTTTTGTACAGACTACTGAAATATTATTTGTGTAAAGCCTTAATTTAAATTTCACAAGACTCTAGATATGAACAATTCAAATTGCATACTTTATTATTTCTAAATAAGTATGCTATGCCACTGGTTAATGCCGTAACAGCATTCTTCTTCTGTTCCATCATTTTGTTTAAGTTTAGCTTAATACCAGATGCTTAAATAATCCCTAGAATATTATTATACATCAGCTTAATACTTTCAATTCCCCTTTCTTTGAGATCATTTGAAGTAACCATATAATAATAATGAGAATTATTTAATAAGGCTTTAGATGGAATACAACCAACATTAAGACATGTGCCACCTAGGGTTTCATTTTTTTCAATACATGCAGTCTATATATTTTTTATTTAAATAAAGAAAAATATTTGAGATTTGTATTTATTTTGCATGCATATTTTTTACTTTCATTCCCAATTGTGCAGCTTTGACAGCTGCAACATAACCACCAGGTCCTGAACCAATTACACATATATCAAAATCTGAAATATATTGTATAACAATTAAATTATAGATATATCACTATCAGATAAGGTAGTATATGTTCGATTTTTCAGATACGTATTGAATTTGAAGTTTAATTGCAAGATAAGTGTATTATAGGTCTTACTCTAATTAATTATAAAATATAAAATTTTAATATATGATTACAATATTGTTATGTCCTATTTTGATTGCAATCATCCTGCAGAGGATAAAAGTTCAATTGAAAAGATTAGCAAAATTCAAATGTGGCAGAAATTAAAAGCGATGATTTATCGATGTTATCATCTGTCATAACAAAATATAAGAAATCAACCATGAATTACATAAATATTTGATATCACATATTTATTTATTATTAGCAAAAATCTTATAAAATAATTTAACCTAACAAATTATTGGTATTTTGTTATATTTTTAAAAAAAATTAATTTGATAATATAATATTAAAATTTCTAAATAATTCTTGACCTACTTATAAATATATATATAGGAAGAAAATAAGAATCTTTAATATAATGTATTTCCATAAATATACTTATTTTAGAAATAGGATTTATTTTAAAAAGATAACAAAAAAGAATAAATATAAATTCGCCTCTTAAAATAGTTTGACAATGACTATTCTGTTGCTAATGGTGCATAGTTTTATAAAATAAATAAATAAAAAGCCTACACATACTTAAATTAAAAAATAAAAGGAAGATTATTTCGTTTTAAAGTATAATAAAGAATTAGAATAAAATACAAAGCATGTCGCATTACTAATAGCCTCCCACCAGATGCATTAAAATCTATAGATATAAATTTATATTTTACAAAATGAAATGATACTAAAAATTATATTAATATTAAAAATAGTTATGTAATTTATGACAAAAATTTGAAAATTCCTTATGGAACGGCGGACACACACAAAGCTATCAACAATGTCATACTAAAAGATTTCAAAAAGCCTAACAAGCGATCCACCTTTCACCCAGCTTGTCTCTTTAATGATTTTATAAAAAAAAACTAAATGTTAATATTTTAATTCCTTTGTAATGGTCTTACCCTTGCTTTGAACTATATTATTAATTTCTCAGGTAAATCAAGCAATTCACACTTTGTCTTGGCCAAGTCGGAACTTGAAAATAAAATATTCTTACCTTCAATATGCAATTGCCCATACATCTTTTTAAAAAAATTATTTATTTAGTTTCTTTTTATAATTTTTTTAGTTTTAGCCAAATTTTTAGGAATAATTTGCTTTAGTCATTCTTCTTTTATTATAAATTTTTTTTATATACTTCTATATTTAAAAAATATAATGTTACTATTTTATATAGAGTATAATGTTTCTGTTATTTTTTGTATGAGATATAAATATATACATTATAAATCTTTAAAGTAATCGCATTTAATAAAAAATTTCTATTAATTAAAATAATTGATATTAATAAAAGTAGATAATAAATTGATGAAAATAATATATTAAATTAAATTAAAAAATACTAATTATTTGAAAACTTAAATATAATCTACATCTTCAATTAATTATAATGGTGTTGAAATGATTAGTTACTAGTGACTGTCAGTTAATATAATACAATTCATCGACCAAATTTATATATTGCAAACAGTCATACACATTGTTTTCCAAATAAAACTTTCTGCTATACTTTTAAATGTAATTTAAAAGGTTTAGATACTTCAGCAAGCTCATAATGCCATAATAATTAATTCATTGTAAATAATGGAGGTTTTAATTGATTTTATTATCTTAAAAATAAATTCTTTATATTCACAAAATATCGATAGTAGGTAGTAGACAGTGGCGTAGCTAGGAATTTTCCTTAGAGGGGGTCCATACATATAAAAGCTGGGGGGCGATCTTCGATAATATATAATAAATATATTTTTTAAATGCATCAATAATATGTTATTATAATTTATTAGATTATTCTCAATGACTTTATAATAATTCTATGCAGAATAATTTCAATAGTAATATAATATCCTTTCACAGACATCCAAACCAGAAAAATATAATTCATATAAAATCACTTTTAAGTCTTCTGAACGTATAATCTAAAATAAAATTTTGCTCTGGGAGGGGTCGAAACCCGAAAACCACCCCCGTAGTTACGCCACTGGTAGTAGAGTTAGATTAATTTAAGTTATCCTTTATAAATTCTCTGAAAAGAATATCAATAAATTAAAAAGTAAAAATAATAATAGGGATACACGCCGCCGAAGGCGATGAAATTTTTTTAGGGGGGTAGGCAAAGGTTTTTGAAGGGGGTTTTCATCCAGTGAAAATCCTGTCATGTAGACGCTGGTGACTGGGATAAATTTCCTTTCCAAAATTAGGATCAACTAGATGACAAAAAAGACATGAAGTTGATCCTATTGGACTAAGTGGAGACTAACGTTGAAGAAATCGTTATGGATTTAATGCTGTTTATATACTTGGTGATTTATCCATTAAATGCATTTAAATGTGCACAAGCATAGAAATCATTTTATGGTTTGCACGTCGATTAAATCACATTAATGCATTAATATAAAAATCTAAAAGAAAATTAGTCGTGTAGACTAGAGATCTGTCGGGCCTAATTTCATTTTAAATAATCGGGTTCGGGCCGGGCCGGGCCTAATATTTTTAAAAAAGCCGGAAATTTTTTTAAATATATCAATTTTATATTGAATTTTTTATGTAAAATAAAAATATTTGTTTTATTTATTGAAACTAAACGACACATAACATATGTCTTTTATTTTGAGTAATTATAAAAATTAATTTCTATATTTAAATAAATTCGGGCCGGGCCGGGTCTGTAAATTTTTTTTAAAAAAAATTCGGGTTCGGGCCGGGCCGGCAAAACTTTTTTAAAAAAAATTTCGGGCCGAGCCGTGCTTGAAAAATTAGGCCCGATGCAGATCACTAATGTAGACTACAAAATTGAACTATAGATAACTTCTATGTAAATACACTTATAATTTTGTCAATCTAGTAACATATATATATACACATCAATATATGGATTAAAATTATCGGCACCTTCAGTCCAATCTCACAAGAATAAAAGATGGCTTAAGTTTAAAGTTCTAAGTCTATAAAAAATATTAACGAAAAAATGAACCCCTTGTATGAATGCTTAAAATTAAGAACGATGTCATTCTCAAATGAAGATTATAAAACACTCGAAGGATTACTTCCTCACGAAAAAAGGAAATTTCTATTTGTCACAATATATATTCCAGACCAAAATGACTACAATAATAGCAACTAAAATATACTGATGAGCAAAATATGATAATCAAATGCCAATGAATATTATAATTTATAAAATAATGATAATTTACGATATATGCCGTGGTGCTTAAAATGATAATATAAAATTATTTAAATGATAAAAGATACAATATATATATGGAAAATAAATTATCAAAAACAAAGTATGATCAACAAAACAAACTATTAATCAAGTTTAACCTTATATCTTTTATCTTTTAACCGTATATCTCCCATCTTGTAATCATATATCTTCCACCTTTACTTTAAAGTAGATTCAAAATGTGCACGGCAATCGAACATTTCAAAGAGATAGGAAAGTTTTAATACAGTATAAATATATTTCTGAATTAAAATTTTTAGAAGTTATAAATTATTAACTTAAAAATAAATTGTGAGTTAGTTATAAAGTAAATTTATAAAATAAAATATGATAAAAAAATAAAAGTTGTCCCTAAATGTGATAATTATAATTAATTAATATAGTTACAATTATTATTTCTTAATATACTTTATTAAAACTATTTACATCTCGGATAAAAAATAAGAAAAACATTATATTAAAAAAAACTGTTTCTAAAAAAAAATACCAAAATTTCTAAAAAAAGGCTAAAAAATTAGTGTTGACTAAAACACTACTCAAGGAGTTTTTAGCAAAAAAATCGGCTTACTCGTTTAGTCGTGTGATTTGGTTTACGAATTTATTAAAGATGGCATAGGTTAAAATAATTATAAGATTTACATATTTTATTCCCGGGAATAAAAAAAATATAAATTACTTAGTTTTTATAGAATCATTTAGTTATTGTATAACATTGTAATAATAAAATCATTTCAATATTTTTATACCCAAGTCTAAATCGGCGATCACTAAGTAATAGTTTAGCCTTACTAAATAATCGCTCAACACTAGTGCTTAAGGATAATTGGGTATTGAATTTATAAATAAATTTTTTAAATTTTAAAAATTATCAAAAATACTCATGTAAATATTAATGAATTAAAAAATGAATTTAATAGGTTTTCAATGTTTGTCTTACACGAACATATTACCTCGATATCCATTTGCTTCGACAATTGTAATATTTTTTACTAGTCGATTTGGTTTTTCAAATTTCAAAATTAAATAAAAAAAATTAAAATTCATAATTATATTTTAAAATAGTAGCGCGATAACTCTATGCCTATTTTTTTTAAAAAACACGCTATTAGCTATAGCTACCAAAGATGATATGCATTACTTTAGCAACTCTGCTAGCAAGGGAAGGCAAACCGCGAAGTCATTGAATCTCAAGAAAAAATTATTTTAAATATAAATTTTATTTTATAAATAAAACACGCGATTTTTATTTATTTAAACAAACATAAAATATTAAACAATTATAAATATAAATAAATTCAAAGTATAATTTTATGGAAAACCAAAAATTGTTGTCATATAAATTTATATCATTTAAAATGTAATTTAATAAAATTAGACATTTTGTCTAATATTTCTAAAATAGCAATATTCACAAATGTACAAATGACATAATTGTCTTCCAGTTCATGAAATATTAGCCTTTTGATCCCCCTAAACACACTCAATTCTGTGAATATATGAATTTAATGTTGGGTAATTGGTTAAAAACTAAAGCATAAGGCTTATAGCCTACAAATCAGCTAAACTTAATTACGCTTAGCCGCAAAATCGGCTTAAAAGTATTAATCAATAATTAGGTATCAGATAATCATCCTTCATCGTTATGCAACACTAGGCCTACCCTTAATGTTTATTTATTATAATTATTTGTATATAATTATTTTATTAATATTTATTATATAAATGACAGACGATTAGCTGATGACCAATTAGTTTTTGCCAATTTTTAGGCTAAAGGTTTAGCTGATATTTAGAATTAGGCGTAGCCGATTTTTTTTTACCTAAAAACCCGACTAAGCCTTTTTGCGGCTAAAATAAGCCGTTAGGCAACACTATATGAATTGGTAATTTGAATCCATAAAATTTCGACTATATGGTGCTTAATTAATAAAATTACGAAGGTAATATTTTAAATTCCTTAAATAATGCCATCGTTAATTTAAGGAATTAATTTAAAAAAAAATTCTTATAAAATAAAAATAATAACAAAAAAAACTCAAAAATTTTTACCAAGATTAAATGACTACAGCCAACCCTTATATTTAGTTCATCTATATTTTCTGCCAATTTTTATTAATATTTTGCTAATAATATTTTTTCCTTTATACTGCATTCCTTCCAAACCGATCATAATATTATAAAATTAAGCTATAAAAATTGATACAATTTTTCAATAAATGGTTTCAGTTATTTTTAATGGTAAGGTTGGCCAAAGTTTTATTACGAATAATTTTTCTTTTATACTAGTTATGGAAAGAAAACACTTATAGGCACTAATAAAGAACGAAACATTGGCAAAGATTTTAGTTAGTATTTGCAATTGTTCCATCAACTCTATCGAAGACGATATAAAGATATTGCATATTTTTAAAAGCAAAATAAACACGAGAAGCAAAATAAACACGAGAAGCAAAATTTTTAATCTAAGATTTTTATAGACTGGATTAGACCTCAAAACAAATTATTCGTTATTTAATATTAGATTTGACTCGATTATAGTATTTTATCAATGAATGACAAAATTATTCGATTCAAAAATTCGAAATAAATAAGAAAAAAATATTATTCGTCGAATAATATTTTAATATAATTTGAAATTATTCTTAAATATTAAAAATTATAAAATATTTGAAAATTATTCATGGATTTAACACGAAACATAAGGTTTTAATGTCTAAAAATTGTTTAAAAGTATATCTTTTCTCTCGAAGATTTTTAATATTTTATATCTTTATTTAAAAATCGATTTTTCTTATCAAAACCCAAATAACTGTTTTTTTCTTCTTCTTGCCTAAGGTAATGATAAAAATAATTTACAATTAATATTATTTTCTCTAGCATTCTCTTTCATATAACAAATAATTTTATATATATATAAACATTAAACAAAACAATTAAATATAAAATAATTAAAATATAAAGTAACGAGTAAGATAAAAAGTAAAAGTAACGCGATATTATCACACGCTATTTTCTCCTAACAATGCCATTACATTATTTTGGGAAAAAACGCGTTACTATAAATAATTTTTTAGAAGTAGCATAACTTTTTTAAAATATAAATAGAAGTCATTATCCGTTATGAACGGTACTTTGGTGTGGGTGTTGATAGTAGATTGATTGGTAGTTTTCATAAAAAAATGATGGAAGATCCTATAAATATGCTTGTAAAGCGTATGGGTAAAAGATGATTAAAAGTTTTAATGTTTAAATAAAATCCGTTGGTTTAAATAGATTTTGTAAAATATATGTATTTTATTCATATACCTTCCCTTATTTTCTTTTAATATAAAATTTAAGAAATTAGTTTGTAGTAATTATTAATTAAAAAATGCCATCAAATAATAATATTTAGCAATTTAAAATTGTGTTTATGTAATCTTCATCTCATCATAACGCTGACTTAATGTTACGGTATTTTATACTCCTTTTCTCTTAAACATAACTTTTAATTAGGATTCGAAGTCAAACCAATAAACCGTTATAATTTTCCAAACCATAACCGTTATAAGAAAATCTTGAAAGGAGAACCGAACCGTTATAAATAATTTCAAGCTGATTTATAACGGTTTTATTTTAGTTTTAAAATATTTTTTATTAGATTATTATGGGGCCTACTAAATAAAAGATATGAATGGTATAAAATAGGATCTAATAAATTCGTTTAAGAATAAAGGGAATGCAACTAAACTGTTTTAAATTTAAAACCAAGAACAGAAATGGAGCTGAACTAATACAACTATCGGTTCTACCCTCTGGTTTTAGTGTTGATAAAGCGAGATTAGAATATCATAGGTTTCGACACCCTGGTTTTGGTGTTAATCAGGGCGTTATTACAATGCTGGGAAGTTATTACATCTCTAGCGCCATGATTAGAATATTTAAATAAATTTAAGTTAAAGAAGAGTAGAGTGATGTGTATACTGAAAATATCCAAATTTTTATTATAAATCCTCTGAAGAAAAAAAAATAAATAATAATAAAAGCGTAATAATTATATAAACTTAATTAGGAGCTAATCTTTTATAAATATCAAATATAAACTTGTATTTCGGGGAAAAAAAATAATTATTTATTTATTAAAATTATAAAATCGTAAATATATATAAAAAAAATTTTTTTTTAGTTATACTTTATAAATGTAACAAAATTTTTTTAATGTAATTTTGCTAATAATATTTATTTTCACAGTGATCGAAATATACAAAATATATAAAATTTGCCTCATTTTTATTTATTTTTTATAACCTAAATATAAATTAATTATTTTTATGGTTATTTAAATTATAACACTTGATAAAAAAAGTTTTAAAGATATAAATTAAATTTTCTAAAAAAATATATATAATATAATATCAAAACGAGAAATAAAATCTTATAATAAAGCTTTTTCGAGAAAAAAAATTCATGCATTTATTTTTTTGCGATATTTAGTAGCCGAGCAGAGTACGTCTAAATTGTAATGGTTGGACTCTTCTGATCTAGTAGTGGTAGAGTTTTCGTCAATGTTATTTTGTTGGCTTTCGCACAGTTCAGTATTTATAGTTCTCTTTTTGGGATGAATTTTGAGGTAAGGAGACGGCATAACGCCTGAAGAAGATTGAGATGTTGCGATTGTATTTATAATATCTTTCGAACCCGAGAAAACGTTATTGACTGGACTGGTAGTAACGGATGCGGAGTAGTCTGTTTTAGTGGCGATATTACAATTACTATTTTTACTATTGAGGATGGTCACCAGCTGTTCTTCTTCCTCGCAATTGTTTTGCTTGAGAAGGCGATGCAAACTGCCTGCAAATTATATTTTAAATGTTAATAGTGGGTCTTATTTTTAAATAGTATTTTTAAAAAAATATAATTTAATTAAGATACTATGTATAAATTTTAAAGAAAACTTATAATCGTACAATTAATAATAATATACCTAAAGAGGCAGTACAACTAGAAGTATCTATATCATTAAGACTGGCTCTCTGATCGAAAAAGGCGTAGGTGCCGCATGGAACTTTTCCATTTTTTTCCAATCCTGTAATGTGCATCTTGGAGCGCAGATGCTTAGCCAAATGCCCTTGAATTCGAAAGGCCACCTGACAATCGTCGCATTTAAAAGGCCTAGGGTCTGGGGTCGGAGATGAAGAGGTCGGTGTTGGGTAGCAAGTCGTATTATTGGGAAAATGGTAAGGGGAACTGATGCTTGATAAAGTCGAAGGGGCGTTTGCATTTAGAGATAGAGGTAAGGATGCTATTATATTCGATGATATAGTAGAAGCATGGGTCAAGTAAGAGGCGTTAATTAGTGTGGATTTGACGTTAGATTTAGAAGCGTCTGTAACAATGCTGCCATTGCCCTCAGAACAATTTACTCCCAATTTATTGAACAACGACTCCCTGGAGTTTAAAGAAGAATTATTCACGCTACCGATATAGTTCTTGTTATCCGAGGCATTCAACCCGTTTATTAAACAATGCGAAGATGAAGCCAGCTTGTCCGCACACTTGTGTTTATTCAGAGCGGCTTTATTGCGAAAGCAATCCCTGCATGTTTCACACCTGAAAGGTTTTTCGAAATAGTGAGCGTTTAAATGTAGGGCCAGTTGACTTTGTTTGGAGAAATATTTACCACAAGTGGGGCAAATAAATTTTTCTGGCTGCGAGGCTAACATAAAAGACGAAGAGAGCTTCGTTGTTACCGAGTTGTTAAGAATTTGCAAGTTGTGATAAGAAGATTTGAATGGATCGCTAATAGTAGGGTCTAGACTCATAGGACTTTGACTACGAGTTGTTAGGTTTGAAATATTATTAAAATTGAAATTTGAAACTATCAACGGAGTTTGGGTAATCGTCGTCACATTGGAATTTGCATTAGAAATATATTGTAAAGTGTTGACTACTAGCGAGGCCGTGGATAAATGTGGTGCGTGAAAATTTTTCAAGTTCTCCAAGATTCGAGCCAGATCTGGAGGTTCGAGGATGTTGTAAGGATTGAACGAAGAAGGCGTCAATGATTGAAGGTGTGTATTAAAGGTTATATAAGAGGTTTGCGTTAATTCAAGTTGATTATTAGAATTCTCTGCACCGTTATTTACATTATCGTCATCCTCACTTTCATTATTATTATTATCAATTGTGGGTAAAATTTGATCAATTTTATAGGGGTCTCTGAGAGTATCTCTTATTAGGAGTGCTCTGTAATTTTGTGAGACAGAATTTTCACTTTCCTTCATGTGAAGGTCTTTCGAGAAATTATTTACGGGAAGATGACTCGATTCTATTTTATTAAGGACAGGATTGTATGAATTATTATAAAGGTTGTAATAGCCGTACGCTAAAGGATTTAGCTGGTGGTAATAGTATGGGGATAACATGTAAGGATTGCTTATAGGATTTAGGTTATTCAAAACCGTCGGGGGGTTAGTAATTAAATTTTCTTCAGTGCTCGAATTAAACGATGACTGTTGGGTAGGGCTTAATAGGTGAGAAGGCAAATGGGGTCTTAGGAAGTAGGGGTGAAGAGATTGGAAGGGATAATGAGGGGGAGGAACGAAAAGATGTTGAAGTGGGTTTACACCAGGGAGAATGGGGCATGGGTATGGAAATTGGTGGTTTTTAGGATAAATATGTTGATTTCTTTCATCGATGACGGGTGAGCAAACTGTTTTTGTTATTTAAATTAAAAAAGATAAAAACTTTAATTTTAAATAATAATAGTAAAGTAAAAGGATTATTTGTTATTGATATTTTTTTTAAAAAAAAAATATTCAACTCAATTAATGAATAACCACCAACCTGATGCCATATTTAAAAGAGCAGAGTAGGAATTCATGGCAGCCATTGAGAGTTGAGATTGCATCGGAGGGTTCATATAAAAGGACGGATATGGGAAATGGGAGCTATTGGAATACATATTAACAAAACATTAGTATATAATAAATGGAAGGGGGGTGGTGCTAATAATAATAATATGAAAACACTTTTTTAAAGGGTGATTATGATGATCTTAACTAATTCTATAATCAGCAATATAATGATTTCTATTCGTATACCTTCTATGTTTATAAATCAAAAATAGTAATTAAAAATAAATTGAAGGTCAACTGTACCGATATAGAACGGTATGCGGATTTTCTTCCTAAACTCGATATGTAATGCGCCGACCATTCTATGGAAATCTCTTTTTTTTATTATGGAATGATCTGAACCAGTTCGGCTAACCTTCATTTAATAACCTGCATGTTAACATATTACTTACTTCACAAACCTTTCGATATTTGAATTTTGGGTCGCTCTTTCGTCTTCCTATAAATGTGTTTAAAAAAATTAAATATCACGATTTTTCCAAAAAGATTATTTGACGATAGTTTAGTTGGGTAATCGTTTTATTTTTTAGCAATTTTAGCCAACTAAAAAAACGGCGAATAGTTTTCAACTTTCGGGTTTTTTAAATAAAATACGGGTAGCTTTGAAGAAAGATTAAATAAATTGAATCCCACCTCAATGCATAGCCGATTTTCAGCTAATACCATTATACTTGATAGTAAAATCTTTAATTTTTTTCGTATATGCTCAATCTATAATAAAATCTCCCTCTTTCCAAAATATGTAAACTCTTTAGCTTGGATAATTAGATATTTTTAGCCGTAAAGGACAATTTTTATCAGGCTAAAAAATCGGATATACCATTACTAGCCATAAATTATCACTCTGGTCTCAGGTGTTCTCTTAAAAATATAGCAGCAAAAGAAATTATTATGAATCAAAAAACACCTTAATGTTAATAAATTTCTCCGATACGAGCCCTTAGATTGAGCCGAATTAATCGACATTTAACCTTTACTCAACTATAGTAACTGGTTACAATTAACAATAACTTATTTGTAATATTTATTTAGGCAACACTACCAGTTAAAAGTTTATATATATATATATATATCTATCCTAAAACGCTAAAACTATTTTACCTATAAAAAAAATCTAACCCTTTTATAATTTGTATAATTTATTTCTAAAATATCAAAAAACGTTGCATTTTTATTGTATTAATATTATATTGTATCTCTTATTTATAATTTTTTTACGTTAAATTTAAAATGCTTTTAAATATAATATTAAAAAAAATATAAGAGAAACAAAATCGATATTTTTATTTTTTTTTATAAAATAAATCGTTAAAAAAATTTTGCAAAAATAAATAAAAATGAAATGACAATTTTTTTTTCTTAGTCTAAGAAAAGGCCTCTCACGCGCACTTTTTTTTAAAAAAAATCGAAAATTTTTGAAACTTTAACAAATTTTAAAATTTAATTATATTTAATAAATTTTTAAAATGTTCTAGGATAATGTTTTTATTTTTATATTTAAAATAGCTTATTTTCATTAAAGCTTTTTAAAAGTTTAATTTAATTTTTTGATATTTTAGACACAACCTAAAAAGGAAATTTCTCCTTATACTAGGGGACGAGTATCGTCAATTAAATCATGTCGTGTAAAATTAAAAAAATTTGAAAACTGTGATTCGAGAGAAACTAGAGATATGGAGTGAGGGGCAGAAGGGCCCTAATTCGATTACCAGCGAGCCCGATTAGTTTATTTCCTTCTGAAAATCAACCTCTTGGACGAGATTAGGTAATAATAAAGTTAGTCAGATGTGGAGTGGAGGGGGAGTATATACATTTAAAAAAGCCAGGTTGTTATTTAGTTAATTACTATATGGTGACCCAAGCGGCCCCTATCCATCTAAGTCTAAAAATAATTCACACACCTGCTTAATTATTTTTTATGCTTAGCATTTTTTTTCTTACTTCGGCGGAGAAGATCAACAAATGTGCAAATTATACTTTACTCCACCTTCCCATGGATTTTTTTTAAATTAAAAAATATATATGGACATTAAACCATTGATATTGCGATCGATTCAGTCGTAACATGTCGGCGATTTTTTAGCAGCGAGCATTGAGGCATTAGTGGTGATATCATGTGATCAATTGGGGGAAGCGAATTACTATATCTACATTTATTATTTATTCATTTTTATATAAAAAAAATCGTAAAGATTTTTAAATTCGGATTTTTTTGTATATCCATGAATAATTTAATTATATTTATAATGTAATAATTTTAAATAAATAAATATTCATTTAAATATAATTTATATTGTAAAAAATAATAGATTTGGTGTAAATATAGGGAGGGGGGATAATGCATAATTTATTCCAATTTAAAACAAAATTTACAGAAAATATTATATTATTTAAAAAGTGCAAAAAGAATATTTTTTCTGGAATTTTAATTTTAAATGGAGGAAGAAAATAATCTTAATCTAAAAATGATACCAAATTGCTTCCCTTTTTGTTATCATGTTAAAAAAATTTTCTTCCCTTTTTTAAAAAAATAAACATTAGGTCTCAAGAAAAAATTAGAAATTAAAAAATTTTTTTTTAATTTTAAATATAATAAGGTGAAAGATGGTAACTAAATATTGAATAAATAAATTACCTGTTAGCATCTTCCATATTGATGGCAATATTAGATTGGGCAATGGTGTTCAATGATTTATCGCGAATCTTGGTAGCTGATATCGACTCATTGAGCACAAAATTATGACTTGGTGGTGATGTTTCGACAAGAGGCTTCTTTTTGAATCCTAATTATTTATAATGCATTTGTTTTTTTTAAGAAATAACGTGTGCTTACTCCTGAAATTTTAAGGAATAAGCATTTAAATCCCTAGATTTCTTTTTTTTGGTAAAAAAAAATAAATTAAATATATCTAGCAACAATTTACTAAAAAAAAATCGGGAAAAGAAAGGAAAATAAATCAATAATCGTTTTTCCATTTGATCACAGAGGGAAAGGATAAAAAAAAACAAAAAAAAAGATTGTTTTATAACACGGGTATTTATTGTACTGTCACCGTGATTCAGGGTAAAAATAAATAAAATTATGACTAGATAGAATAAAGATTCTCCTTTTAAAATAAAATAAGGGGGTGAGTCGTCTCTATGTTATGGCTTGTCAATTACTCGACTATTTTAAGTTAGGAAGAATGACGAAATATGTTTAAAAAAGAATTGACAATGATTAGCCCCGATAGGTGAAGCGTAATCGTTGATTCGCAAATATATAAATTTATAATATATATATTATTGAGGCAAAATGGAACTAAATCTCTAAAAAGTAAGAGCTCGGGGTGGAGGGAATGAAAATAAAAATTCGATCCACTAATGAAAAACCGAGGTACTATAATTCAGGACGGGAATTGTTTGTTATACTCGTTACCCCTCAATCAAAGTCAGCAAGAATTCGCTGGAGGGAGTCCAGAAATTTAAAATTGTTTTAATTAGATATTTTGCGAAAATCGACCAAACGGGACCAATTTTTGGACAACAAACCCGAGGTAATATATAATCGAGGAGGGTTGGGACCCACTAAAGAAAATTTCTAAAATTATTTAATAATCTAGTATCAAAACAATTTTAAATTTTAAACTCGAACCCGGGTCAACTGTGTTTTTTATAAGCATTCATGTTGCCTTGCGTAAGGTCTCTAAGGGTAGCATACGATACAATTAGGTCATTGATCATAGGGCGGTAACCCTCATAATCATTTATATTTTAGCCACCAGGAAAGTCTCTTACGTCATTGGTTTTTGATGAATTAGGATACTTTTATTTCATATATCTACTGCATTCAAGCATCTTCCGAATATGGTTTTACTTTTTAAATGCAAGTCTAACCAGGAATCAAAAATTTATTTATTTTTACAAATTCGGAGGGGCCCAAACATTCGGAATCGTGAACGTGATCCTCAACCCATTCTCAACATGATTTAACTCGATATCGCAAGTCGCATTGTGTTATTGGAAAATGGGGTTTTTTTTGTGTCTTTCTCTCGCCATAGATGAATTGATGGTATAAAAGAAAATTATCCTGTCTTGTTCTTCAAATATCTTAAATCGAATTCCGTTACAAGCCCATGTTCCAATGGATCAACTTACCTCGTTATGGTGGCTTAAATTGAGCAATCTACTTCAAGATTTGGATGAGGGCGTGATCTGGTTAGGAACTTATTGGCGAAACAGATTTTCTACAGGTATTCTTTATGAATAGTAAAAATTTTCATTTACATATACCCACCTTCTTGCGTAGCCTAACAAAAAAAAACCTGGTATTTTGATTTGTTACACCTGGGAACTTTTATTGTTTGCCTTCCCTTCAAGTTACAATATATAATCTATTTTACTTAAACAAGGGAAATACGTAGGTCGTTAAACGGCTCGATCGATTTTTAAAAACGGTTAACTTAACATTATAGCCAGGAAAATATTGCCTAAGCGTCCAGATTTCGCCAATAAATATTCAATCCGATGTGCCATCTATGAGCAAAATCTTAAGGCTTGCATAATATTTTTCTGGATAAAATATTGAGTTAACCGTTTGTAAAAATCAGCTCAAATTGAGCCGTTTAACAATACTAGAAATACGGTATGAACTAAATCTTGTTGCAATCATTTTATGATGCTGTTAAACCATAATAGGATTTGCTCTTATTTTTCTTAACGGTTTTAATAGGCCAAAAACTGATAGGGTGCGTCACAAAATTAAGCGAATTTACTTCAGCGCGTGCGCCTGAAGACTAATAGCCAATTTTAGGCCATCTTACTCACCATACAGTGAAGACTAGAATTTGAGCGACTTTGTTTTGATTTCACTTTTTTTAAATTATAGTATACTTAATATATTGGCAACCATAAAGATTGAAGCTTGCCCTGCCATGTAGCCGAATATTATGTTAAATATTGGTAAGAACCGGTTCATACCTAGGTGATCGATAAGGGCTAAATCGGTTTTGATGTTTCCTAAAATATACAATTCTATATGAACATTATGTTCAACTTGTAGGTCAAATACAGTCCGTACATGTAAAGGTGATCGATAACAACTAGCGGTTTTGATATTAATTCCTAGTTGATAATTCAGTATATATTAAACTAATGAGTAGATAAATGATAATAAATGCTATTTTTAAACAAAGAAAAATCCCCTTATACTTTCACCACCTGCATTTCCCAATTATTAAATTTCATTTTGAGATAATTTTTTTCTAGAATGTATCTTCTTCCATTTAAAAAAAACTAATAATTATTGTTTTACACGTATTTTTATTTTAATGATGGGACTCGCAAACTAAGCGGTCACAATCACGAGATTTATCTGATTTACTATTGGATATTTACTTAATAATCCTAGCATAATTCCTGGTAGCATTTCCCTTCTTTTTACCTCATATATTTTTTTAAATCAATAATTCTTGTTATTAAAAAATATATATTTATCTAAATTGGAAATTAATGTTCACTTTTTGAGCACGAGTAAGATGCGTTTTTTTCGTTGAATTGATTGGATTCGTCTTGCGTTTCCTGTAATAAAATATAATAAAATTTTTTTTTAAATATAGTGATAATGAATTAAAATTATATGTACAGGATAGTGAGTAGAATTCGTCCCAACCCAAACCAGCCCTTGCAAATTTTTGCAAATATTTTTTGGCCACGCCCATAAAATAATTCTAAACAAGTTGTCGGGCCCTTGCTTTTAATCGATTTAAAAATTATAATAAACGCCCGCAATAATTTTTTTAATGAAGGAAAAAGGCATAACTTTCTCCAATTCTATGCATTTAATAATTCGAACTTATGACCAGGCTCGAAAAATTATATTGCGCAAATACATGGAATGAAAAACATCGATCTTTTTTTCTTTATTTGTAATTTTTTTTTTAGTTATTAATGGCACTAAAAAAAAGTATAAACACTCAAAAAACTCAGCGATTAAGGGTATGACCAATAGGAAATAGGGTAAGATGCAACTGCGTCGTTGAAATTACGAGAACTAATGGGGGAGGGAGAATACCCACATAGTTAGTATACATTTTATAACTGAAGCATTTTATACATTCGGGGAGTCTCAGCGACATTGGCTTAATGGGAATTTAGATAGATATTGCCCATATGAATATATTGACTTATCATAATAAAAATATTGGAAATACTATTATGTGAGATCTTTGATTATGGTCCAACTCAATGAAAATGCCGCTACAACAGCTGATTAATAATACACTTATTTATTCGTCTATTTATAATCACATGATCTGTCAAATTTTGACAGTTTATTAAATAAAAAAGGTTATTAAACCCCCACATTTTTTTTTAAAAACCATTTTTAATATACCTTAACCCTAACCCACATCTCTCATACCTTTAATTAATCCTACTTCATATCTCTAACCTTTAATCCTATATATTTAATTAAAAATCTCCTTTAGTTGGACATTACTTGAATTGAGCATATCGAGATCTTCAAAAATCCCGAGTATAAAAGTTTTAATGAAGGGGAGGGGGGTTTACATAACTTACGATATGCATAATACTATAGTAATAGACGCTCAATTAAATTAATTTTTTTAAATATAATTTTATTATTATATCGATCCATCAATGCGTTTTAAAAAAGAATAAGTACAACACTTCTATCATTGATTTCTTTATTCAGCATACAAATTTAATAACTATAAACATGAATTTCAGAAAATAAACACACAGGTAGAATAGATTTGATTCCATATATCACCTTTTCGGCTAAGAAAAATGGGATAGGTGTGCATATAAAATTAAAATTCATGAGGCCAGGTAATACAATAAAGGGGGAGGCAAAATGAAAGAATAGCTGATCAAATTTGCAATATTCAGCTTCACATCACTACCTACCACTAAAAAGTTAAATAATGTATAAATTATAAATATTGTTATGATAGATTACAATTCTTTAAGTCATCATATGGCTGAAGCTGAATATAACCAATGTAAAATGGCATCATTGAATATGACCATCTTGTCAATTGTTCGAAATTCTTAAATTTCTCCGAGACATTTGACTAGAGTTTAACTTATAAAAAAAGAAACAAAGCTCTTCCATATCATTCTATTTTATAGTGTCTTTTCATTCAACCCCTTATGGAGTAAAATAAAACATCTGTTTTAAAAATTGCAATGGATCATGACCAAAATATTGGGCTTGTAGAGTAGCCAACAAGTCTAATGCAACATAAAATTTTTCGATTTTATAGCTGAAATAAAGTTAAAAATGTATAACATAATAAATATTACCGTAATGAGCTACTAATGCTTCGCAGAAACCGTTGCCATTTTTTTAAAACTAATATTTTCCTTCGCATTTGTCGAATCACACTATTTTGACTCTTAACCTTAACCCCATTGAAATATTCATGGAATATTTCATTCCATTATTCTGATATCTTTATATTGTAGAAATTGAATTACTAACTGTTTTGTTCTTGAATTGTATTGTGCCATTTTTAAAAATATATTTCCTAATATATAATATATTTAAATTATACAAATATCTACTTTAGCTCACTTTCTGTTCATTCGTGTACATGATATCTTCAAGATATACAAAAAGACACATACCCCTGGATAATAATATCTCAATTTTAATAAGTTTTTTAAAATAGAAATGAGGATTAAAAATCAATTTTTTAAAATTAATTCTACACAGCTCTAAGTGTCTGTTAGATTTTAGCCAATGTAGTAGGTTTTGTCTCTAAAGTTAGTATTTATCATCATCTAATATAAACATTAACCATTATCTTTGTTGCATAGTCCCAAGCTAACCGCTAACTCTTCACGTGGTATCAGGAATTACCTTGAACAGAGTAGTTCGGTAAAAACTAAAAGATACTTCTTGGTTGATTCGCCTAAGCAGCCCTAAGTCTCTTAGATTTTATCGATTTGAGTAGATTTAATGTCTAATAAAATCATTATTTCTCATAATCTATTTTTATACTTAGATTAACCCTAGCCCACATTAGACCTTGCCATGAACCCGCAGCGACTTCGCATTCCCATTATTTTATAAAAATGATACATATGTAAGAATGAAATTAATATATTTTATATAAAACTTTCTTCTTTTTCTAAAAATTTTCAAAAAAAATTATTAAAATTTAGGTATTTTTGGCCGGTAGCTATTTGTTCAGATCCCACTTCTAACCGATTGTCATTCCGGGGAGGGGGATCAGACACTTGTGGTTTGTTTGGATCACAATTCTCAAGCCCTAATCTATTCAAAACAATAAGGTAAAAGCTACGTGAAAATCAAGACAATCCAAAGGATGGGTTTTATTTTGGCAAAGAATATCCTAAATTTACTGATCCGACTGTATTTCTATACATTGATGATTAAGTAGTATCAACAGTTAAATAGTTCTTGCTTTTTAATTAGTTTTTTTTAAAAAAAATATTTTATAGAGATTGTCTCATATTCAAATTGATTAAGGTTATTATATAATTTTTGAAAATTAAATTAGAATAATACACTAATTTTTTTTAATGAATTAAAAAAAAAATTTTCTATGAAGTGGTTATAAAAAAATATGTATTATAAAAATTGGTAGTGAGTGACTCTGAGGATGCATCCTAAATTTCCCTAACGATGACGTCATTGCGTCACCCATCTCCCAGGATAGGGAACACTGGCCACTATATCTCGTTCATTAAATTTAAAAAAATAGCTACTTCTAGCTTTTTTTTGACGAGATATGAGAAATGTAAAATAAAAATTTTTTTGATGCCCGACGTTGGGACGCCTGCCTTCACATAAGATAAAAAGATAATGTAATAAAAAAAATGGTATTTTCTTATTTAAAAATATAAAAATTTCTCTTGCCCGACGTTGAGACGCCCTTTTAACATAAAAAAAAGTGTTTTTCAATCATTTATTTATATAAAAAATTATAACCCATACTTAAATTACTAACTTACAAAAAAAGAAAGAATGAAGAAAAAAATACAAAATGAAAGAGAAACGGAAAAGATAAGAAAGTGAAAAGAAAATATTAAGGAATTTAGACATTTTAAAGAAAAATATTCACTGGCATTTAACTGCATCACATCACAATTTTTTAGTTTACGATTTCTTTTGGTGGAATAAACGAAACCACTCAAGAGTCGATATAAAAGAAAAGAGTTTAAAAGATGTGGTTGTCACTTATCAGTCATATTTTCTCAATCCGTCAAAGGTCAATTTTCGTAAAATATATTGGCATAATTATATAAAAAAAAATTTTTATCAGGTGAGTTTTACTTTTAAAGAAAATTTTGATTAAAAAATAATTAAACACAAAAGATAATTGTGTTTTTTAGAAATAATTTAAAATTAAAAAATTATGACGACATTTTATTTTGTTAATTAATATCCTTGAGATAATTGATAAAATAAAAATACTTTTGTGACAATAAAAAAAATTTAAAAATAATTCTTGAAGGGAAATCGGGAAGCGTTCGATAAATTTTGATCAAAGGAATGTTCGAAAAAGAGATTATCGGCAAATTAAATATTTAAAAATTTTGATTAGACGTAACATCGATTAGGGGTTGAATTGCTACCTTGTTCTAATTAGAGATCTGCATTCTGCAACAGGCCGGGCCTATTTCTAAATAATAATCCCGATTCGGACTGGGTCGGGCCTAACATTTTTTAAAAAATTTCGGGCCGGGCTTAAATTTTTAAATACGATATTACATTTTATCCATTAAATTGATATATATTAAAATTCTTGCAAGAAACGAGACGCTAATATTTTTTATATTTAAATAAATTAGGGTCGGACGGACAAAAGATTGTTATTTCGGATCGGGTTTTTCGGGACAAATAAAAAATATTCGGGCCAGGGAAATTAGACCCGATGCAGATCACTAGTTCTAATAATCTAAATGGTGGTATAATTTTAAATATATTGGCCCATGGAAATTAATATTCTTTAAAAAGCAAATCATCTATAGTGCGCACAAATTGAACTTAACGTATCACCTGTTTAATTAAATTGAGGCAGTATTTTTAATTTTATCAAGGAGTACGTGACTTTGGAATAAAAAAAGATTAGCCATGAATTTAAAAAATAAAAGTATTAAAAAAAGCAAAGTTTTTTTAAAATGATTTCTAGCGGCAAACGATGTAATTTGATTAATTCATACAATTTGAAATACATTATTTGTGCTTGCAATGTAGCTTTTGAAACGCTCAAGTTTTGCGCACTATCAGTCTTTACCCAAATAAATATATTTACTAAATATTCTCTTTATAAAAAGGTGCCATTACCGTTATAAATTTTGCAGTTTTTCCCCATATTAATTAGATTTACGATTCATTTATTTAAAAAGTGTGCATACATAGGAATCAGCTGTATACTTTATTTTTATGGTCTATATTAGTGTTGCTAAACGGCTCGTTTTGAGCCGATTTTTAAAAACGGCTAACTCAATATTTTAGAATATTGACTAAGCCTCAAGATTTTGGTTGAAGAAGGAACAAAGGTTTAGACATCTATTAGCGAAATTTCGAGGTTTGGGCAATATTTTTCTGGCTAATATATCGAGTTAGCCGTTTTTAAAAATCGTAACAAACAACACTAGTCTAGATAAATGTCATTTACTCAACGCACAGACCATAAAATAGCGTCTACATACACTTTTAAAGAATTTATTGAAATCATTAAATAAATATAGCTTTTTTCTGCCTCTGATATCTTTTTATTTAACAGACTTTCTAAAATAAATTTCAACCATCCTTTTTACTTATAAGATTTTCTAATAAATTTCAACAAAATGGGATGATTTTTTCTTGTAAATTACAAAAAAAATGAGGAATTCGATATTTATTATATTTGGCAGAAAGAATTTATTAGCAAATTCTGAGTTGTTTCCATGAGGAAAGGCATAAAGATAAAAACTTAATTTTCATAAAGCATTGGTGATAGTGAATAAATAATTTATTTTAAAATAACGTATAAAAAAAATTAAATTAATAATAATACCTAGACTGACGATTCATTTATTTAAATGTGTATATATACAAATCAGCTGGTGGTACGCCATTTTGATTTCATATAATATAATCAATTTAGATTAAAATTTTATAACTTTTATTTGGAATAAATAATTTAATTTCTAGTAAAAAAAATACATAGGATACTAAAATGGCGTGTCATCAGCTGATTTGTTTAAAAAACATTTAAAAATCCATATTTAATGAATGAAAACATATAAAATTGTTATTACAAAATGGAATCACCAAGGGCGAACTTAGGCCTAACTTTAAATATGATAAGTGATAAAAAATTTAAAATGTGCCTTTACCAGAACCCTTTTTAACGCATAGAAATGTATCGAACAAAAAAAAATACCAAAAAAAGGGGGGGAGGGGGTGGTTCAAAATTCTATTAATTTTATAATAAATTAAAATGATAATAAGAAATGTTTTTATATAAGAAAATTATGGACTGTAAATGCCTGCCGCATGCCAGGGTTACATATGAAATCGCTTATGGAATACCAATATAAAAAGGGTATATATTGGGTAAGAAAATTATACTGTAAATTCATGATCATGAAATAGCTAGGTCCAGCTTAGATCTACTTTACACAAATAAGGTATAGGGCGAGGTACTTACTCGAGGTCGGCGCAGCCCGACCAATGGGCCTGAAAAATAATTTGGGAGCTGGATCGAAAAATCAGATAGGCAGATCTTTAGTCTTACTATAAATACATTAAGAATTCTTCGTTTTTTATTATTGGCGAACAATTTTTCAGCACGCCTTTAAGAAAACCGTTTTTTAGTCTTAGCAAAATATAAAAAAATATGTCTAAGTGATAGCAACTGGACTTATCTACTTATCTAGCCTCAATTAATATGTTTTGAAAATTTAATTCAAGCCCAAATTTATTTATTTATTTTAAAACAGGTGGGCCTCATCTTAAAATTATAACCAACGGATGCGCGTTATAGATGGACAACTAGGACGAGGGGTTTGTGTTTTCAGACTCTTATTATAGCTAGACTGTGTTGTTAAACGGCTCGTTTTGAGCTGATTAATAAAAATGGCTAACTCGATTTTTATCCAGAAAAATATTATGCAAGCTTTAAGATTTTGCTCATAGATGACACAAAGGTTTAAATACCTAAAAATTTAAAAATCTCGAGGCTCAGGATTTTTCTGGATAAAATATTGAGTTAGCCGTTTTTAAAATCGGTATATGGTATATTTTATTTTCCCCTTTAAATTATAAATACTTTATTAGAAAATGTTGTTTCAAAATTTTATCTAAAAAAATATACAATATAATAATTCCCTAAATTATAATTTAAAAAAAATTCAAAACATAAATGAAAGAGGATACGAAATGAAATCATGATAATTAAATTAAATAAGCCAAAAATATGTTATTTAAAAACTATCATTTGACAATAAAGGGTAATCTTTATTTTTTGCTATTGTAACAAATTATATTTTTCCTTGAGCTCGTTCTAAGAAAAACCCTGGTTTTAGATGTTAAACGATCCTTTTTTTTAAAAAAAAAATAAATATTATAACGCTATCAAATTGAAGCGTTTTATTTTGCTGTAATTTCCAAAAATCAAAATATATACCTCACTAATTTAAATAAAAGAGTGTTAACTCATTATTTTGATTATAATAAGGGACAAGGGGGGGGGGGGGGGGTATATAAATTACAGACCTGTAATTATATTAATTAGAAAATACGAAGGGAATATGGGTATTTAAAAAAAAACATAAAGGACACCAATCCAATATACAATTCAGGAATTTTTTTTTATTTATAAATTGTAATAAGGTTAACCAGTTAGTCTACTTTTAAGATAAATAAAATGGATAGAGATGGTGTATGTCGGTCCAGTAATTAAATGCCGAGTTTATTGTTTAGGCATTTTATCTTAAAAAAACCTATATTAAATCATCAAAGGTATCCCTTTAAACTCGTAAAAGTATATGTGAAATAGTACACCTTAGAATTTGAAATGGTATC